TTTCCTGCTGATTAATTAGGTAAACATCTTCTTACTGTTTTTACCAGCGTACAGGTAATTTCAAGAAAACTGGTGCACATTCCTCTGTCAGGATTTAGAGTGCAGTTCTGTATTAAAGCAAAGTTGGGAAACTACAGTCCTGAGGCATCAACAAAGTTTGTTACAGCAACAGAATTTACAATGCACCAATTGCTGGGCTGGTGACAGGTACCTCTTTTACTGAAAAACACCACATACTGAACACAGTGCCATTGTCTGATCTACACGTATGCACACATGAAGTGAAGAAACCGAATTCATAATTTATAAGAAGAACTGAATTCACAACTTGTGTTAAATTTTGCACAGCTCTGATATAATCTATGGGATCATGCCATTTAGCAGTGAAAGTTCTTGAAGGTTTAGTCGATGGAGGTGACACAAGTCAATTTCCACCTGGAACAGCTCTGCTAAACCCTGCTGTGCAAGAACTGTAACACTGGTATTGAAGTGACGTTGGAATGTGGGGACAGTTTGAGACCAATAGATGACACTCTATTTTTACTTCAGTTCTGCAGCTGCAGGCATTTCTACTTTTTTTGTCTTGGAGGTTTTCAAATTTATGCAGCTTAATCTTTGGGAAAGATTGTAGTATTTAACCATATTGTACCAAGGCTGTTGAAGTAAATACAAGATTCCTCACTTGCTCAAAAAATTTTTGGACTATGGCTGCACCATTTTCATGTTTTACACCAGCTTACTTAACAGTAAAAAGTACAGAATTTGTTTTCAGTGCTAGTCACAATGTGCCTGCACCAGCACAAAAATAAAGACTGTACAGGACCCCCAGGGGCAAACGCTCTCAGTTTTCAAAGACCAGAGATCTCAGTCCCAGTGCTCAGAGTCTGTGGGGAAAAGAATACCTAATTCTCATTAACAGCTTTGAAAACCTCTTTGTAGGAAGAAAGAGCAAACAGAGAGAAGTGAAAGGGAAAAAATAAGTAAGATCAGATGGCAATGGATCATGCCTGGTAATGTAGGACTTCATTTATACAGAGGCCTCTTAACCAATTCTGCAGTGTAAAGGTATTTCAACATGAATAATGGTAATATTCACAGAATACATCTATTATATATTTTATCTGTAATTCTGCACTTCTATATTACAGTAAAATGTACTTTTAAAGGCACTTCTGCCTGACTTCCGTAATAATGCCAAGATCAATCTGAAAAACTTTGTAGATATATATTAAATTCCTTTTAAGATTATTTTAAAATAATCACATGGGTGTCCAAAAATGCTCTTGCACCTGTATGTAGATTGCAATTAATTTAGGGTGACTTCATTGCTTGATTTTGTGAAAAAGAAGTTATTTGGGACTGTCCTGCTCTGTAGTAAAGTAATTGTAATATAACAGTCTTTTGCTGTTGCTTTACTAAAACACTTATATTAAGTTCCTGAAAAACAGCAATTTACTAAAAATCACTTGGAGCTTTGCTTATCTGTGGAATGTTCCTGCATTTAAAATTAAAGTAAAAGCCTTATATATGTGCATGTGTGGGTGTCTGCACATATATTTATGCATATGTATGTGTATGTGGATATATATATAACTGGAGAGATTTTACAGTTAGGTCTGATTCAAATAGCTTTAAATTTTTATTGGCTTTCTTCCTCACTTTTGAGACATTAATTTATAAAATAAAACAGTTTCAGGCACTGCTTTGAAGTGTTACTAATCACAAAATGTTAGGCCTACGCTCAGATGTAGTAGACTAAAATTTTTAAGAGTCTCACCCTGGGTAAGTCTTTACATTTTTTAAAAACCTCTTTTCCATGTATTACTCTCATTCCCTGCTCTATTAGTAAAGGCATTCTACACATATTGTACAATGACATATGTCATATGTCTAGAAATAATCCTCATGAGACTGAATCTTGGACTTGGTCAGACTGATAAATATCTGCAGTTATTTTGAATTTATAATGAAGAATTTAACTTAATGGCATTGTACAAGTTCATGCAGAGCAACTTGCGGATAATCAAGCAGCTGAAGCATATTTCTTTCTTGGTGGGAGCTCCATCATACATGCTTTAAGAGAAAATTAGGCCTGAAAGGTCCAACATTTTCACAAATAAAAGATCTTGCTCAGAACTAAACTTTTTGGGAGTTAGAAAGTTCAATGTTTTCCAAAATTTTCGGAGAAATGTGCACCTCAGAAATACAGCATACTTTTAATATGTTGTACTTCAGTGATCATAGTCTTTGGTTAAGAATAAATATCAGGTATGATCATCAGATTTGCAAGAATGCTGTGTGCAGAGATGTCTAACCTTGATTGTAAATGTAGATCAGATTCAGCGTGGAAGTTCAGAACTGGCTGAACAGACCTGGCTTATATATCACTGCTTTGGAGGTGAAACAACTGGTCTAACTGTCTTAATAAAATCTTAGTTCTTTTGGGATAATGACTTATTAGTATGGCCAAACCAGGCATCCAGGATATAACATCTAAGCTGAAATTTAGGTGGATCATTCATTGGCTTTTATCAGATATTCGAACCAGATCTCTAATAGAGGTACTAGTAATACTTTTTTCAACACTAAAAAACCCTAAAAAATGCATTTTAAGCTCCTGCTGTTTTTGTATTTCGAAGAGCGGACAGACATTGCTAAAACGCATTTTAATTTTATGGAACATTGCTTTGGTAAAGATCTCATAAAATCTTATTTTAACAATGTCTGTGTTACGGGCCAAGTTATATTTTTCAATAGCACCTTTTAAGTGAGCCACATAAACAAAACACAGAATTCCCAGTTAAGCTAGAAAAAAACCATCATATGGCAATGCCTGGATGGGAAAAATAATTTTCATATGCACAATCACTGCTCAGAAATTAACACAGGGGAGCATGAGAACAACAATGGCTGTTACCCCCTACTTCAAAGTTGAATATCCAGTTCCCTTTCCATTGCCTATAATTTTTTTCCAAGTAATACTAGGCTGAATTGTACTGCATGTCTCTGAACACCAAAGAATCTCTCAGCACAACAAGAGGAGGTAATCAATTGCCTCACATCTCCAAAGGCTTCAGTTTTCCATGCTTATTTTAAAAGGGAATACAAACGGGAAGGGTTTCACAAAACAGCATTAAATTAATGAGAAATGGAAATTATTCGCTTGTGCAAAACAAATAGAAAGGCTGACTATGTATATGTAAAACAAAACACAGTAAAGACATAAACACCTTTCTGGTATTACCAGCAGTGAAGGACTGGCATTACTTGATTTGGAACAGAGGGTTCTAAGGATAAAGGGTTAATATTTCCAGCGGAAAAAGTAGGCCCAGCACAAGAAGAAGGTAAGAACACTTTCAAAGGTCTGGATCAGGAAGATGACACAGACTACAGAACAGCTTCTCAGGCACTGACTTAAGTCTTGCTATTTGAGTCATCTAACTTTGGACCATAAAATGAAACAGTGAAGGTAATTTGGCTTCATGTATTAGAATTTCCTTCCAGGAAAAGTCCAAACTTTTAATTCTTTTCTTTAATGACTAGAGACCAATCATTGGGTTGGATGGTTTTAATAGGGTTATTAAAATTGACAGGAAATTGGACAAGCAAGCATGAACACTATGCAGAAGTCCACAAGCAGGGGCTTTGTGGCACGATTCGCTTCATACACACTTGGTGTGTGACATCTCTCCCTGTTATGTTCATATCTGTTACAATATTCTAAAGTTGCACTAACAGCAAGAAAGATACTGACAATCAAAGAAATAAGTAAAGAAAGAGAGACTGAAAAGAAGTAAAGCTTTCTAAATACAAGTGCTGACTAATAAAAATAAGTCATGAAAGGAAAATCTGTTTGCAAATAGGGTATTCTCCAAAGTTAGCACTACAAAATGGTTTCAATATTTTATTTTTTTCATAGATGCATAGATGCCATCTGGAAAGACCAGCTGGCAAAATTCAAATAAGCATTAGCAAGGACACCAAAATTGTCACAGCAATACCCACCTAAATTGCAGAAGATTGTACACATTTCTGCAGACCTGTCTTTGCAAGAAAGGTAGCACGATGATTCTGCATTTCTTACATGGATTTTATGGTGTGTTAGCAGCTAAACATGCTATAAAACAGAAGACTTTCACTTTAAAACTTATAAACCATGTTTCATAAAAGGCTTTTAATCAACATTTAAAGGTACTCACACAAATACAGGCGCCAGCTTTTTTCCACAAGATCTATGGTGCACCAGTTATAGAGTTTCAATCACTCCTCAGAAACCTAAATTTTCTTTTAAGCCTGGGCCATTATAACTAGAGTCACTGCCAAATCCAGGTCTCATGAATGCACAATACTTTTCACTTTTGGTTAGTCACCATCACTTCAAGCGAGCATTCCTCTTTTGATGTTGTGCTTGATCAGCTAGTTTTTGTAATGTACTTTTTTCCCTCAGTGAACGTCCTAGATAGCGTAACTAAGCTTTTTGCAGGATCCCGCATTCTACAGTCAGCCTTCAGGGACATTAAGTTTAAAAGTAAGGAAAGAGTAATTAAAAGTGATTAGGACAAGAAGCCTCAATACTATGAAATGTGGACTCAATTGTCCTTGACACTGGCAGAATGAGGCAGCAGGTTTTGGTTTTGATTACAGCTTTACTTGTGATTTTAATAAACATGAGCCAGTATTCAAACTTTTAATATCCTGCTGCTTAACTATTTCCAAAAAGCAATCCAGCTCTTTTAAACAGCCCTTGTCTAAAAATTTTAATTTGTTTGGCTCTGTCTCTGCTTAGAGAAGTTGTAGCCTCATGGTAACTCTTTCATAAGTTCATTTCCAGAATCACAGCAATTGGGTTTTTTTCAACTAAGTGTTTCCGCATGTGTCAAAAGTATCAGGCTGACAGCTTTCCTGCACCATTTTATCTGGTTCCCACAGTAAGTATGAGAGACAAACACAGGAATGTGTCTAGTGCTGACTATGCCCATCAAGAATACAATGATACTTACAGCTCTTCCAGGAAGCGGAGATTGTGCACAGGGTTTGAGGGCAGCTTAGTAATGTTGTTCATACTGAGATCACTGTAGGGAAAAACAGACACAGATTTAATATGGCATGCCACAACTGTGGCATCCAGCTGTTCATTCCACACATTTTTAAGTACTACATTAACAAAAATCAGTTCCTCTGCCAGTACTGATGAATCATTATCTAGTTAGCACATTAAACATTCTTCTTTCGTATGAACACAGGGTTGTGAAATCAAATACAGTCTATAGCATGTTCTTCATTTCCAGAGATTTTGGAATGTTTTATCACACCCTATAAATCATTTGGAACACTAAACAACCCTTTTAGTCAACATAATTTTAATAAACCACTGTATTGTATTAAAATCTACTTGGAGTAGTAAAGAAAAACTACTATGATTTTTGTTGTTTTTGTTGTAGCACCATAGTACACCTGGTTTACTAAAGTAGACAGGCAAAAGCATACCAATACAGACTATCTGCAACATCCTTTATATTTCATGACTATGGAATCACTTTGCCTTTGCTGTACAACCTGCTGTATGGTCACACTGATTTGCCTTGCCCCACATTAGGTACATCAGGTGTCCCCAAACCCCAACTTGACTCAAAGAAATGATATATTTTCAAATAATAAACATGCAATTTTTGAGTGCTCTTTTGTTACAGGTACTCAAATTGCATTAAATAAGTGAAATGAACCATAAAACAAGGGTGTAATGTGATCCCACTCTGTAGCACACTTCCTGCTGGGGTTCCACAGTAGTTCCTGGAACAGGAAACTACTAGCCATATCAGCTCTGTCAGAGCTCATTCAAGCTATGTTTTAGACTAAATTTCATATAATACCTTTTTATTCTTAACTTGCTTTTTCATTGTTTTCCATTGTCTTCCCCATGCCCCACAGTACCATTATAATTGCTTTTCATTAAGTACAAAACCTGTAAACAGATTGCATAATAAAATTCTGTGTGGAAGATCCAACTTACATGACTATAACAAAATTCCTGTAGATTCTTAAAATAAAATTAAGAATGACCAGCATATTTTATGCAAACGTTATATAGTAATTTAAAACTCCCCACTATTTAAACATATCTATGCATTTGTAGCAGTGCTTATAGTTTCCAGCTACTTCGGGTACTATTTAGATAACTTGATTTCTTCCAGCTGTTGAGAGTTTACAAGGTAAATAAGTTATCTGTACTTTGGTAGGTAGGCATCCTATGCCTACTCCATCTAGTTCTTATTCACAGTCTGTTTCACATTACAGAATATATGCTTGATATATGTTTGATCTTTTGCTGAATTTTAAAATGTATAATTTAAAAACATACTTCACATAGAGATTCTGAAGTAAAGGAAATGTGTTAATACTTTACAACAATTATCAAATCACTGTTGAGTAAGGTCTCTGCATTCACTTCAAAATCGAAGTATAATTTGAGAAATGTGTACTTATTAAATTCATTCTTTACTGTAATACTTTATCACCTAATTCTTTCATACTGTTTAGCAGGTTATTGCCCTTTTACTTTGATAAAGGCTCAAAGGGTTTATTCTGGCAAAGGAACAAAAACATGGATTTATTTGGCAAAAAAAACCCCTCATCAAGGTAGTGAAGTATATACTACTGAATATTAAGATAAACCCAATATTTTAACAAGATCATTTTGACTGTGATATTTTCAACACATGTCTTAATGGGGTTTTGGAAACATCCCAAATCACATTTTGGACTTAAAAAACAGCCCTGCTGGAAGATGGGAATGATTAATCTTCAGATACACACATATTTAGAACATTCTACAAAACCAGCATTAACCAGTGCTCTGGCTGACCAAGAAAAACTGGTTTTCTAGCATATTAATTTCTGTTACTAGCAAGCAATATTTGTCTGCTTGTATCACCCACAGGACCCCATGATGAACCAGTCAGAAGCAATCTACTGACCAGACCTTAATATCTTAAGAGGATTAGAATAAAAGGAGGTGGCTTTCATTATGTGCTTTGATGCACAAGGAGAAAATCAACAATATGTGCATTTTTCTTAATAACATCTTTAGACCCCAGAGCTGGATTTGCCAGCAGTGAACTCCTATGTCCTAGTCTCCTTTTTGGGCTCAGTCATGTGGTAAAGTATGTGCTCCACATCATGTGATGGAGGAGAACCTCTTTCCCAGTGTACACTGCAGCAAATGCTAACTCTTTTTAGTTAAATAATTTCCTTCTGCTACTTTTTTTCTGGTTACTTCTTTTCCAGATTATTCTTTTGTTGGAACATAGCATACAAAGATGTTTTTGTAAAACAAAACTCCTAAACATTACCTATGCCTATTTCATAGAATCAGAATCATTTAGGTTGGAAAAGATCCTTAAGATCTTTCCAGTCCAGCTGTTCACCCAGCACTGCCATGTTCATCACTAAACCATGTCCCTAAGTGCCACACCTATGCATCTTTTAAATATTTCCAGAGATGGATGTAACAGAAATTATTTCCCAATTTTGATCAACAATGTCTTTTTAAACTAGTTTTTAACACACTTGGAACTAATACACAGGCCATTCCAGTCTATTTTGGCAATGTGCTATTCTTTTAGCTATAAAGGTTTAAGAATATAAGGGCAACTACTGTAGGGAGAAGTAATATATTTGATGAGCCTAGCTGATACAGTTGGAAAAACTGAGAAACTTTCAGGTACAAAAATAAAAAACCTCTACTTTTTCCAACTGTACCACTTGGCTAAACAGGTGACATTATTTCTCCCTAAAAAAACACACATCCCTTACCTTGGAAAGCAGTAGTTCATTTTTTAGATTCAGAATATTCTTTTGGATCAGAATCACCATAGATTTATTCCAATTTAATCCAATTTTTGCTCACTGAAAGGGAGAGAAGAACCATGACCCAGAGCTACTGCTGGGGGGATGTTTGGAGATGTGAGACAAACAAAAAGGGTTAATGCAAGGCAATCAGTCACTGGGTCTCATATGACCAACACTGAAAAATTTGGGCTTCTGAGTAGGAATTCCTCACAGTGCTCTAGAGACAAATACAGGAAGTTTTCAGCGTTTTGGTTTGCCAGCATTTTGGACCTTACTGCCAAGAAGACATAGCTCGGATGAGATTTACAGCCATTAGCTAGATAAAGCACAGTTAACAGCCAGAAAGAGCTAGTTGGTAAATTACAGGATTACACATTATTACTATGAAAACCAGTAACACTTGCAAAGGGTATGTCTTATGTCCTGCACCTGCAATGGTTTCTTTTCAAGAAGTGCATCAAACAGGTTTTCTGATTTCTGCTTTCACTGCTAGCCTGCCAAAATCAGCAATTTCCTCTCTCTAGGAAACAGAAGGGGATGAAAGATGGCTTACATGTCAGCATTTGCATTGTAATGCTTAAAAACATTAAAATCAAGGTACTGGATCTTTAACTATCCCCAGTGGAATTGTTCTGGTTTTATATTGGATTTTGGTAAACTCTTACAAACTACAGCAATGAAAAACACAGAATTATTACATTACTGAAAACCTTTAAATAATTCTGTGTAACAGAACTACTCCTATCTCCCACCATCAAAGCACATACAAACCCCGATGATGTCAGTAGGAGCAACACAGTAAGAGTATACTCTGTTTTAAAACGCTCCTAATATAACCAGCATTAGTACTAGATCTACCTTTATGAAAACTACCTGCACCGCAAATTGTCATATTCTACTGAAAAGGCAATACACTGTTTTGAACAGTCAGATTGACATATCGTGTGTTCTCCCATCAGCATTCCTGCAGCCTGTTTCCAACTGCTGACTATAAAAGCAACATACAAGCAAATGCAACTTCATCTTTTCAAAAGATTAGAAGTTTTGTTTCAATGACTGCATTGGCAACATGGCTCACTATAATGATATCTTAACTACACCTTGTGCCAATCAATCACCATGCTGTGCCTCTGGTGACTTGCTAAGGGAATCCTATCTATGATGAAATCTTTGACAAACAGAAAATATTGCAAACTCCACCATGCATCTATCTGTTTTTTCTTTGTGAGTAGATTGGTAAATTCTGAGCATTTGCAAAACAGCACCCAAGAAGGCAAATACAACATATCTTCCCCCTCCACCCCCCAGTTTTGTTGTCCATGCATATATGTGCTGAAAAAAAATCCAGTTACCATCTTAATAGTGAGCTCAAAATGAATTCCAGAAAGCCAGTAAAACAAGTTAAGTGAACCAGTTCTTAACACTTAATAGATGAGTTTGGAGGCTGAGTTACTAACCTGCTATTAGCTGTTATTACAAGAAATGGTTCAGTGACTATTCATCTTGGAAGATCAGTTTTTACGTTATACTCACGTCTTTTAAAGGAGAACAAAAATCTCTCCAGGGATACACACAAAACTACTGGCTTTCATCAACCTGCCAGTCTACTATTAGGCTCAACATCTATTATACCGAATGGTACAAACCTGTCTACCCATTGCAGGTCTAATACAATTTTGTAGCCTATTTTCTTAACCATTGCAACCTGCTTGATTTTTAGAAAATGATCAAGACTTATTATTAGGATTATTAATTTTGATTCTTCTAAGCCTGCCTTATCCCAACAAGATGTATTAACAATTATTTTTATGGAAGTCTTTGAAAGATAAAGCACTTTCATAAAATACTGACAATAGACTGAATGTACTCCCTTAGTTACTACCAGCTGACAACGGTTTCTAAACTATGACAATTTCCTTAATTAATTTACAGCACAATTTGACACCAGCTTACATGTAGTAATACAAAATAATGAAAACAGGTGCGTATTACTTCTGTTCTTCCCTTGCTGTGCCCATCTTTTTAACAAAGCACTCTTGTTTCTACTGTTGGCAGAACACTAGCTCCACTGTACAATGGAAGAATATGTTAGCTATTAACTACATGCCATCTACTAATGCAAATGCTTCATTAGCTTTCATGAAAAATATCTTCATCTGCTACAGCTACTTAAATCTATTTGTCAACACTGTAGTAGTAGTACCTATTTCTTACAAGTAAATTG